GCCCAAAACGTCAGCAACGTCAGCTTTCCTGCTCCTCTGATGCTGCTTGGCCTGCTATGTTCATCCAGCTCTACACCTTGTTATCTCAGATTCTCCAGCATCTGCAGTTCCTACTATCTCTGGTTAAAAAGGTGTTTGGCACGCTTGCCTTTATTGCTCAGTGCTTTGAGTATAGGAGTTGGGAAGTCATTTTGAGGTTGTACAGGGCATTGGTGAGGCCTTTTCTGGAATACTGAGTCCCATTCTGGTCACCCAGTTATAGGAAGGATGTTATCAAGCTGGAGAGAGTTCAGAAGAGATTTACCAGGGTGTTGTCAGGTATGAAAAGTTGAGTTATAAGGAAAGGCTGGATAGGCTGGGACTTTTTTCATTGAAACGTAGGAGGTTGAGAGACGAACTATTAGAAGTTTATAAAATAATGAGAGATATCGATACAGTTAATGTTAATTGTCATTTCCCTCGGACGGGGGATTTCATGACTGGGGGCACATTTTTAAGGTGAGAAGAGAAAGATTTAAAAAAGACATGGGGAACAAATTTTTTGCACAGAGGATGGTTCATGTGTGGAATGAACCTCCTGAGGAAATGGTGGATGTGGGTACAATTACAGAGTTTAAAAAAACATTGGGATTAGTAAATGAATAGGAAAAGTTTGGAGGGATCCGGGCCAGGCGGGTGGGATTAGTTTAGTTTGGGATTATGTTTGGCATGGATTGCTTTGACTGAAGGATCTGTTTCCATGCTGTATGACTGTGTTCATACCAGAGCCAGCCATTCTCAGAATGTACTGGAGACTGGTAAATTTATGTCCTGATCTTATAAAGTATGTTTTTGCAAGCACTCAGACCAATTATTGTTACTAGCTTTTCCAATCAAATTTGAGTAACTGACCCAGTATTGGCTACCTCATCACGTCCCTTTTCATTGCAGCAAGCCTATGAAATGAGAGCAACATTGCAGGTTTGTAGAAATCCTTCAGTCTATTCATTTTTAAAAAGGTGTTCCTGGCACAGTGCAGTTTCAAGGAGTGAGCAGATTTAATCTTATGAATCAAAATTTTCAAACATTGGAGACAAATTATGTTTTTGAAATCAAAGGTTTCTTGTGACTTGCTGTTGCAGCATGTCTATCATTGGCAGTAAGTATGACCTTAAAGCCCAGCTGGAAATTGTTTTCTCATGAAAAATGGGTCAATTGGCTCATTATGTTGACAAAGTCACAATATTAGTGCTTATCATTTAATCCTTAATACCTGTACTAGTTAGAGCTCTGATCATATTTCCTTACCCCTTCTTGAGAAACCCCAGCTCCTACTGGTTGTGTTTCATGGTTCATTTGATAGTTGTTTAGTGTAACTCTGGGTAATCCTTTAACTTTTCTTCTGCCTTTTCATCCTACCCCTTCACCCGTTGTCCGCTGCCGCCTCTGCTATTAAAATAAGTTCTAACTATTATTGCAGGATTTTGGATGATATTGAAGTGTATGAGGAGCAAGTCTCATTCAAACTGGAAGAGCTGGTCACCATCTCCTCCTTCCTGAATAATTTTGTATTTAAAATGATCTGGGATGGCATTCAGGGTGAGTCTATTTACATAATACCAAGAGTTGTAATTAGTCTATCATAGTGAAGTCCTAATTAGGTTTTTGGAAATACTGGGGACTGTATTCACATTTAACCATTGAGTCCTCAGCTGCAAGGCCAGTGCTGTGCTGAGAGATTGAGTAGAATGAACCCGTACTCTCAGCAGTTTGGAAGAATGCACGGTGATTTGTTTGATATCTTAGAGAATTAATTCAAAGGTTTAACAGGATAAATACTGAGATTCCTGTTTATCACTGAGAAGAGAAATACCTTCTTTCAGTTTTGAGAGTTTTTTAAATTATGCAGTATGGGATATGGGCATTGTTGGCTGGGCCAGCAATTATTGCCCGTCCCTAGTTGCCTATTAGAAGGTGGTGATGAGCTGCCTTCTTGAACCACTGCAGTCCATGTGTTGTAGGTTGACTCGCAATGCCCTTAGGGAGGGAATCCCAAGATTTTGACGCAGTGACATTGAAGGAGCGATGATAATTTTCCAAACCAGGATGGTGAGAGGCTTGGAGGAGAATTTGCAGGTGGTGGTGTTCCCATTTATCTATTGCCCTTGTCCTCTAGATGCAAGTGGTTGTGGGTTTGGAAGATGCTGTCTAAGGATCTTTGGTGAATATCTGCAGTGCATTCTGTAGATAGTAGCAGTAATATGTACTCAGGATTGGTGGTGTAGGGCTTGGATGTAGTGCCAATCAAGCGGCTGCTTTGACCTGGATGATGTGAAGCTGCTTGAGTGTTGTTGGGGCTGCATTCATCCAGGCCAATGGGGAACATTCCATCACACTCCTGACTTGTGCCTTGTAATGGTGGACTGGCTTTGGGGAGTCACGAGGTGAGTTACTTCCTACAGTATTGCTATCCTCTGACTTGCTCTTGTAGCCACTGTGTTTATGAGGCGAATCCAGTTGAGTTTCTGGTCTACGGTAAACCCTAAGGATGTTGATGGTCGGGGATTCAGTGATGGTAACACCATTGAATGTCAAGGGCCAGTGTTTAGATTGTCTCTTATTGGAAATGATTATTGTCTGGCATTTATGTGGTTACCTGCCACTTGACAGCCCAAGCCTGGAAATTGTCCAGATATTGTTGCGTTTGAACATGAATTGTTTCAGTATCTGACAAGTCACGAATGGTGCTGAACCTTGTGCAATTATCAGCGAACATCCCCCACTTCCGACCTTATCATGGCAGGAAGGTCATTGATGAAGCAGCTAAAGATGGTTGGCCCTAGGACACTAGCCTGAGGAGCTTCTGCAGTGGTGTCCTGGAGATGAAATGACTGACCTCCAGCAGCACAACTGTCTTCCTGTGTGCCAGGTATGACTCTCTGGGCAGAGAGTTTGCCCCTGATAATGATTGATCCCAGTTTTACAAGGGCTCCCTGATACCACAGTTGGTTGAATGCAACTTTGGGGTCAAGGGCTGTCACTCTCATCTCACTGCTGGAATTCAGCTCTTTTGCTCATGTTTAAACTGAGGCTGTAATGAGGTCACGAGAACCCAAACTGGGTATCCAAGAGCTGTTAATTACCAAGGAGGTGTTGCTTGATAGCACTGTTAATGACAATTTCTACCACTTCTCTGATGATTAAGAGTAGACTGATGGGGCGGAAGTTGGCTGGGTTGGATTTGGCCTGCTTTTTGTGTACAGGACATATCTGGGCAATTTTCCACATTGTCGGTTAGATACTAGTGTTGTAACTGTACTGGAAGAGCTTGGCTAAAGCACTTCTGTGGTGGACTGAGATCAACAGATTCTTGGGCAATCAGGGAATCTATAATTGTTAAAATAAGGCACGAAAGAGGCGTTGAGGTGGAAGATTAGTCATGATCTTATAGATTGGCAACTTAGGCTCAAGAAGCAGTTTGGCCTTCTCCGACCCCAGTTTCTCTGTGTTCCTATATTGTGGCAAGGGTATCCTTTAACATTTTGAACTTTGTGTTGAAATAAACAAGAAACAGTCATTTCACTTCTGAAACCCGACATTGAATTCTGTCCAGGCTAAGATATTGATGATGTTGATGTGAGTATCTCTCGGCTGTTGGCTCTTCTCTGTGAAATTAATTTGGATGAGTCCCTTATCTGTTTGTTAATGAACACAAGTACGTGATACAGGCTGCTTTTACATTGGATTACTTGATCCTTAAAAAAATCATGTCCATGCATCTACAGCTATATCTGTTTCCCCAAGAAATACATTTTAATACATCTGAAATTCCCGATACTGTTACATTCCAATCTACAGAGATTTTATGGATTTTTCGGTGCTGCCAGGTATTGTTGAGGCCTCAGTATTTTTCACCTGCTGAAGGGTGTTTTTACCAAAAATAAACTTTTGTTAAAACATGTTTAGTTACTAGTAAATAACCTTGCATAACTCCATTAAATCTGAATAAAATGATAAAGTTTGGGCAGAGCTACATCTGACAACATTGAGCTCTACATTTAGCGATCTATTGCGCTGCTGTGCAAATTGGACAGATCCAATACGCAGACAAGTTTTCTTTTTTTAAAAAAAACCTCATCATGCCATTCCCAAAGAGCAAAAGATAAACTTACTCCAAAGTAATATGAGCACAGCAATGAACACTGAGAAATTAACTCAGTACCAATTCCTATGGGCCATATTCTTAGAGGCAAGCAGATTAATGTCTGAATTTATCCAACAAATGGATGTTTCTGTTAATCTGAGGAAATTCAGACCAGCTTTTTTTGAATTGTTTGTGAGTTTTATTCTTATTCTTGCAAACATGCGTATGAATGAAGAGCAGAGATAGGCCATTTGGCCCCTTAAGCTTCCTCTGTCATTTGATAAGATCATGGCCAATCTAATTAAGGTTTCTCCTTTCTTTTCCACCTCCTATTTCCTTTGACTCCCTTGTCAGCCAAGAATCCATTTAACTTGGCCTTAAAAGTACTGATTTACATTTCCTCCACCACTTACTGGGGAAGGAAATTCCACAGAGTTGCAACCCTCTGAGAAAGAAATTCTCTACCTTAATTGGGAGACTGCTTGTTTTTAAGCTGTACATCTTAACTAGAGTCTCTCCCACAAGAGGAAACATCCTTTTGACATCTATTCTAATGAGGCCCCTCAGGATCTTATGTTTTAATTAAAATCACCACTTATTCTTCTAAGCTCCAATTGGTTTAGGCCCAGCTTGTCAAACAGTCTCTCCTAAGTTAGCCTCTACATCCCATGAGTCAATCCAGTGGACTTTCTCTGACCTATATTGTCTACCAACTTAATCAGTATTTTGTTGTTAAAGGAGAAAAGATGGAAATGAAATTAGGCTAAATCTAGACCTAAATCTAGATTTTTTTTTGGATCTCTAGAAAATGCAAATGGAGACCAACTGGAGCTGTTTCATTCTGTTCACGGGTGGCTCATGACACTGTACGAGCGAGACTGTCGACGGCGCTTTGCTCCTGAGGATCATTGGCTACGCAAGTAAGCAAACAGTGAACTCTTGACACAGTGGGTGAGAGAGCAGTACATTTGGCTGCAGTTTTTTTCTCCAAAAAAATAATGCAAGCACCAGTCAGATGGCTGACCTTTCCTGTCTTGAATGCAGCCTGCTGCCTGACTTACTTTTTATTTTAAATGGCTAGATGTGACAATAAATGTCTTGTGGAAATTACGAAGAGTGAACAGGTACTGAAAACTCAATGGGCTGGAAATTACGTTCGGTGCTGGTGTGTTTCCTGGTGTGGCAGGTGGCCCATGTAAAATCTTACATGAGAGTGAGGAAGGCCACGGGTGGTCTGTCTGCCCTTGAGCCTAGTGAGGCCCTAAGTTAAAGGTCACTAAAGTGCCTCATCACACCACCACTTTTAGTTTACCTGCAGCACGGAGATGCCTATACTTCCAGCAGCTTTAAATGACAAGCAGCTTGACCTCCTTTTGGGAGTGCCCTGAGCCCATCTTTAGGCTTCCTCCCAACTGCCCCACTGGCCTGTTGAACCTGACTTTTCACCGCCTTACTGAGATCCATCCCCATGTTGGGGACTGCCTATAGTCCCAGCAGTGGCAGTCATGCCCACTTGGTGCTGCTGGGATGGTTGGCTGATAGTTCTCTATTGCCGAAGTTCCTTTCTGATAAAACACCTTAAAATGGTAGACATTGGGGCCAGAGTTAAATTGCTTTGGGGCTGTCATCAGGCTTGGGCCCTGCCCCTTGATTTTCCAGTGAGGTGAGTGGCGTTGACAGGGACCATAGTCTCCCATAAAGTTTAGCTTGTTAATAAAATTGAAACTGAACAATCGCTGACTAGTGTGATATTGCAAGATTAAAAATTAGTGCAGTACATCTATGCACGTAGAGGTCACCAGCACAAAACAACCTTGTGGGATGAGGCATCAACTTCAAGAGAAATGGAAAATCATCCTTGGGGAAGATTACAGAAAATCTACTGAGTTTAGATTCCATTGGAAGAGGGATGTGAATGCTGTCAACATCATTTCTAGTTGGTACAAAGTACACAAGTGCAAAGAGGCTCTCTTAAAGTGACTGAAAGCAGCAGAGCCAGTCCCTGGAAGTCTCCTGGAGATTTCAACCAGAACTGTCATCCAGGACTTGGGAAGGCAGCAATGGAGGTTAGGGCTGATGAGGAGGAGCTTCCCCTCACTGGTGGTGTCCTATCAGTCATCATTCCTTCATCATCTGGCGAGGGTCTCTTGCTGAGGGCCAGGGATGTTGCTATACTAGTTATCCTGTTCCTGCTGCTCCCTTTGCTCCCTCCTTATTGAAGTTTCAGGAATGCAGCAGCAGCTGGGCACGGCCACTCAGCCCTGAGTTGGGTTCCTCTCTGGGCAGCATAGCAGTTAGAGGGGGCCAGGCTGCAAACTGGCAGCCAAGGTCTTAGTCTTACAGTGTGGAAACAGGCCCTTTGGCCCAACAAGTTCTCACTGATCCTCAGAGCATCCCACCCAGACTCATTCCCCTTTAATGCACCTAATCTACACATCCCTGAACACTATGGGCAATTTACCATGGCCACTGCAACTGGCCTGCACAATTTGGGACTGGAGGAAACTGGAGCACCTGGAGAAAACCTACGCACACACAGGGAGAATGTGCAAACTCCACACAGACAGTCACCCGAGTGTGGAATCGAACCCAGGCCCTTGGCACTCTGACGCAGCAGTGCTAACCAGTGAGGCACTGTGCATTCCAAAATTATTGTTCCTAAAACAAGTCTTAGAATTGTGTTATTTCCTTCCATGCTATTCCACATTTTATTTGTGTTGATTAAAAAGTTCTTTGTAACTAATTTAATTATTGATGAATTATGACCTGGTGAATGTCCTTCATGTTCCTGAGTGGAAGTGCTGTTGGTAATGGGGCACACATTCTTTCATGATAAAGGAGCTGTTGCAGAGCATTTCCAGAACTGTTTGGCGAAATAGGTCTATATAATTTCATAGCTTTCCTAACTGGAACAGTACCCAACCAATTACTAGCAAAAAAAAAATCAGATTAAATGGTCATTCATCATGTTGCAGTTACAGAATAGCTGCCTTGTCAGCTTTTTGGATAGCTTTGCTGCTAAATATTTAATAGTTTGGAGCATTTTGAGACATTTCAACATAATGAGACACACAAAACTTTTCCTGTCTCTTCCAAAAGGTTTCCAACCTTGTTAGAATCTTCAAATGTTCTTTCTGTGGTCTTCCTTAAAAAAACAGTTTTAAATTTTGATTAAAGTACACCTGACACTTTTATTAACATGATGGGAATGTTGATTGAAAGACTGAAATTTTGACTTTCTTTTTGATGAAAGTTTCTTTGTGCTCCTTCCCTGCCAAGATGATTTGGATGTTCTTTATCCAAATGACAAGCTATTTGTCTTATTCATAAAGGGATCTGAAACCTAGCCTGATATTCCAGGATTTGGATAAAGGAAAGAAGAGAGCCCAGTTACTATTGCAGTATATCCCACACACAATTCCACACAAAAATGTAAGTACTGTTATGAGTAATGACAAGATTTGTAAGAATAGTCCCATTTAATTGAACTGTCAATCTAACAACAAATCTCATCAGTACCCTGGCTGTTGCCTTGAGCAATTTTCCAGTAACTTTTACAATAATATTTTTGCCTATTACTTTTTTGATTTGTTAAAATATTGCAGTTAGCTGATCTAGCACATTGTGCTACGTTATTAATGGTCTTGCTGGAGTTACTGAATCAATGCTGCTATTTTAAGTGGGCTGCCAGTAGTGTTTATGGCTTAACCACTTCAGTATTATCATTCACTTCAGTCAGATAAATGGTTCATCCTAAAGCAATAGTATGTGCTCTGCAATATCATTCACTTAAACAACCAATGTACTTATCTTGTATTGATGTCAATACATCATACTTGAACTGCATTATCTGTTTGCATGGAAGGGACCTTCCTGGTAAATGATGGGAATTGTCGCACAAGCAAGAGTGACCCAGATTTCATTCTTCACAAAAGTCCTTTATTTTAAGCAGGGCAAAGAAGAAAGATGACAGAAGAAATAATAGAGATTGCATCATTTAAAAAAAAATACAGCATGGTCATTGCCTTTCTGTCTTTTATTGTATGCATTTTGACAATCTTAATTTTGATGTACTCAAAATATGTAAATCCAAGCTCTTTCCATTCTGTGATATGCTGTCAGATGGTTACTCATTAATCATGGTAATAATATTCAGAATTGTAGAGGGGGAAAAACCACTTTGAAGATTTATTTCAAATTTCACTGAAAGTTTATTACAGTTTATCAAATAATCATTTGACAGTGATGTAAAAAAAATTACTACATCTATTTCTAAGTTGTTTTGCTGATTGAATGAAACTTGCTTGTCCTTTCTGTTGTCAGAGGGTGCTACTTTTCCGGAACATGGTAACAAAGGAAAAGGAGGCACTTGGATTGGTGGAGACGAGTTCTGCGTCTCCTCATGTCATCCACATCACAATACGCAGATCCCGAATGCTTGAGGTAACATACCTGGATATGATGCATTGTGCTTTGCTTTAACACACTTGAATTTTAATATTCCCACTGTTAGGCTTTCTTTTCTCTATTTTACAGGTACAGTAAAGAGATCAAGACAGTCCCCAAATTTTCTTAGATAATATCTAAATTTGGTACTTTAGTCATACTTTTTTGTTTAAACTTTTAGTCACAGGTTTTGATTTATAGTTTTATTTTTCTGGTTTTTGTTTAGAGAAATGTGACATGGGGGCTTTGGGTGTGTGGGGATGAGGAGGAGGAAAACCCTTTGTATTCCTAACCAATCTTAATGACAAAAGCATGCAGACAAATTTGAAATATGAACATATTTTCTAAGGTTCTGTACATATTGCTCTATAGTAGCAGTAGAATAACTGAGTTAACCGTTAGTACATGGAATTGTGTAATTCACCAATTCAGTGGCCGCAATATTAGTTCTTGGGGGTTTTTGACATTAAATAATTCGGTTAATCATATTTCTAGAAAAATAAATTTGACATTAAGCTTACAAATACAATGTCTGTGTAAATACTGTAGTGACAAGAGATGTAGGGACGTATGATAACGTAGACTGGATTCTGCTGTGGAATATTTAATCTGTGTGCTAGAAGGCAGGCAGCTGCTGTTGGAAAAGTATCAGATGAATTGCTATTTGGGCTTGATATACCACACCTGCGATCCTGAACCACTGCAATATTAGTAATCCATCTTTAATCCTGAACAGAACAGAATGTTATTACACTTCTGTTTGAAGCGAGTTTATAAGATGAAAATTGATTCTCAGGCTACTGCCATTATTGCTTGGAAACTTAACAATGGACTATGCCAGGAACCAGGGGACAGGAGAGTACATCAGGGCCCAATAACAGGGGCAGAGGGCTCCGGGAGGTCCGCTGTGCTCGGGTTGAAGTCAGGGTCCTAGGTCAGGAGCAGCATGGGACTCATGATTTCCTGCCATGGGAATCTGACACAAATAGAGCCCAAATTGACAACGTATACGTGGCTTTAGACCATGATGTGCACTTTAATGCCCACACTAGGTTGCTCAACAGCCATTCTCGTCAATATTGTTTAGATTCTGTATCAAAGGTTAATGAAATGTGTGTGTTAGCAGGGATTTCAGTGCCTGATGAGTTCCTTAGTCTGAATGGAAGGGAAGGGAAACCCTGTTGGGACCCTTAGGGTTTCCAAGAAGCATGGTTTTGGTAAAACACATTAAATTACCCTGAGAATGCAGGGATAGCCCTGCCTCTAAATGACAATTTGCCATTTTTCTTAATGGACAGAAGAACTAAGGTGAGCAGTGCTGAAATCCAGGTCCGGAAATATCATAGCAATTGACAAAGATTAAATGGAAGTGCAAAATGCTGCAAAGCCACAAATGATGTCAAAGTGAGCTAAATAATCAGCTCAGCTCTATTACCTAGTGCCAATCTCCTACCTTTTCCCCATATTCCTGCACACCATTAATATCCAAAGAACCATCCAACGCTGTCTTGAATGCTTCAATTAAACCTGCCTCCATCACGTTTCCGGACAGTGAATTCCATATCCTAAAATCCCACTGTATGAAAACGTATTTTCTCACCTACTTCATTTGCACATCACTTTAAATCTATTCTCCCGTCATCTTATTTAATTTACAAGCAGAAAAAAGGTTTTCCCTATCTACTCTGTCTAGCCCACTTATGATTTTGAAAACCTCAATCAGCTCTCTTCTTGACCTTTCCTTCAGGAGAACAGTCCCAACTACTTCGATCTGTCGTCATAGTTGAAATTTCTGATGCCTAGAACCATTCTCCTAAATCGCTTCTGCACTCTCTTCAATGCATTCACATCTTTCCTATAATGTGGTGACAAATAATGCAAAAATAAAGGTTAGGAATGCATGTAATGTTCCCAAAAAATACTTGTTTCACTGTACGGAGCTTTAAGGACGAATAGTAAGCATTATATGGCTTGTTAATTTTAACCAAAAAAATGCCCATGAACATACTTTTTTTGAAAGTGTCTCTACAAATTAATGAACCTAGTGCTGATTAATGTTGTAGTCACTGTTCGTTTCATATTTTATGAATCAATCAACCATATATTATCCCTCTTCAGTCCCTAAAACACCTTATATATTATTTGATGTCTCTTAGCTCAATAGTGGCATTCATTGGTTCTGAGCTACAGGTCATGTATTGCACACCTACTCCTTGACTTGACTCTGACACTTCAGTGAAGTACTCCGGGAGTGTTGCATTGTCAGATCTTTTGCATGAGATATCGAATCAAGGTTTCATCTGTTTTTCAGTTGGTTGTAAAAAGTCCTGTAACACTATTTTAATAAGATGAAAGGAGTTGTGTTAGAGTTCTGCCTAACATTAATTTATGAGCAACACCACTTCAATGGAATAAGTGGCAATTTATCTCTGCTGTTTAACAGGATGTTGGTGCGTTCAAGTTGGCAGCTACATTTGTTTAGAAAGCAACAATACTTGTACTTCAGAAGCTATTCAAAGGCTGTGAACTACTTTGGGATGTTTTGGGGATGTGAAGGGCAACAATAAAAGCAGTTCCTTTCACTGTTTTCATTGTTTCTTTCGTAATGAATTGATAACAGATGTTTACTGTGTTTCTAGGATGGGTACGAACAGTTACGGCGACTACCTGTGAACACTATGAAAGGAGTTATCAGAGTGAAATTTGTCAATGATCTAGGAGTGGATGAGGCTGGGATTGATCAGGATGGTGTTTTCAAAGAATTTTTAGAAGAAATCATCAAGAAGGTTTTTGACCCTGCTCTGAATCTTTTCAAGGTAAATCATTGTTTGGATAAAATGTGGAAGAAAATGCAAAGTCAGAAGTCACACGACACCAGGTTATAGTCCAACAGGTTTATTTGAAATCACAAGCTTTCAGAGTGCTGCCCCTTCATCAGGTGAAGTGGCACTTTACCTGATGAAGGAGCAATACCGTGAAAGCTTGACTTCAGATAAACCTGTTGGACTATAACCTGGTGTCGTGTGACTTCTGACTTTGCCCACCCCAGTCCAATGCTGGCACCTCCACATCGAAGAAAATGCAAATCAAAGAATATACTTTATATCTCTTATTCTGTCTCTTGAAGTTTATTTCCCCCTCCCTCATGTGCCATCTGCATGACAGCTCAGTGGTTAGCACTGGTGCCTTACAGCATCAAGGACCTGGGTTCAATTCCAACCTCAGGCGACTGTGTGTGTGTGTATGGAGTTTGCATATTCATCCCATGTCTGCGTGCGATTCCTCCAGGTGCTGTGATTTCCACCCACAGTCCAAAGATATGCAGATTGGGTGGATTGGCCATGCCAAATTGCCCTAGTGTCCAGGGATGTGCAAGCTAGGTGGGTTAGCCATGGTAAATGTAGAGTTGCGAGGTTAAGATAGGGGTGTGGTATTGGAGGGTTGGTGTAGACTTGATGGGCCGAATGTCCTGCTTCCACGGGGATTCTATGAATATATGAAATTTGGTGGATTGTTTTTGCTTTCCCCATATGCTACTCAACTGTACCTCAACCCTACTTGCTCTTGCTTGCTCTCTCTATCTGTCCCCTCCTTCCCTCCCTCTTCCTCCCCTCTCTTGCCCTCCCCTCCTCTCTTCCCTCTCCTTCCTCTCCTTCTTATGCCTCCTGTGCTCTCTGAATATTGGGTGATCTGTTCTCATTTACCCAGGTTAACTTTTTTATCTATGTGCTACTAAACTGTATCACATTGATTAAAAGTATTACAACTGTAGTGCAGTTCTTCCCTGCATAGTTTTTAGTTTGTTTTCCCTCTTGCAGACTACCAGTGGAGATGAGCGACTGTACCCGTCCCCCACCTCTTACATCCACGAGAACCACTTGCAGCTGTTTGAATTTGTTGGAAAGATGCTTGGAAAAGCTGTCTATGAGGTACAAATAGAGCTGTCAAACTTTGTATGAAGCAATGCTGGTTAATGATTTGGCCCACAGAATGAGTAGAATAGCTTTCTAAAAGCTAAAATTGATTTGTTAATGGTTGTCAGGCCTGATGGTCATTTTATGCCTGTGAAAAATCTGCATTTATGTTCTGTTTGCTTTTATTTTGTTTGAATGGCTACAGTACCAACCATTAAAACTACAGGAATATGAATTGCATTGAAGATGTGTTGATGCCAAGCCCACTCATAGAGTCATACAGCATGGAAACAGACCCTTCGGACCACCTTGTCCTCTCCGACTAGACATCTCAATCTAAACTAGTCCCATTTGCCAATGTCTGACCTAAAGCCTCTAAAATCTTCCTATTCATGTACCCATCCAGATGCCTTTTGAATGTTGTAATTGTACCTACCTCCAGCATTTCCTCTGACAGCTAGTGGTATTATCGCTGGACTGTTAATCCAGAGACCCAGATAATGTTCTGGGGACCTGCGTTGAAATCCCACCATGGCAGATGGTGGAATTTGAATTCAATAAATATTTGGAATTAACAATCTAATGATGACCATGAGTCCACTGTCAATTGTTGGAAAAACCCATCTGGTTCACTAATATCCTTTAGGGAAGGAAACTGCCATCCTTACCTGGTCTGGCCTACATGTGACTCCAGACCCACAGCAATGTGTTTGACTCTGAACTGCTGTCTGGGCAATTAGGGATGGGCAATAAATGCTGCCTAGCCAGCTACACCCTCATCCCGTGAATGAATAAAGGAAAAAAAAGCTTGTTTTATACACGCACCACCCTCTGCATGGAATAGTCACCCCTCAGGTCCTTTTTAAATCTTCCCCTCGCACCTTAAACCTGTGCCGTCCAGTTTTGGACTCCCCCACCTTGGGAAAAAGACTTAGGCTATTCACCCTATCCATGCCCCTCACGATTTTATAAACCTCTGTAAGGTCATCCCTCAGCCGTTGACACTCTGGGGCAAAAAGCCCCACCCTCTTCAGCCTCTCCCTATAACTCAAACTTTTCAGTCCTAGCAACATCCTTGTAAATCTTTTCAGGTTTAACAACATGCTTCCTTATAGAAGGGCGACCAGAATTGTATGCAGTATTCTAAAAGTGGCCTCACCAACGCCTGTACAGCCACAACATGAGATCCCAACTCCTATACTCAGTGTTCTGACCAAAGAAGGCAAGTGTGCCAAATGCCACCTTCACCACCCTGTCTACCTGCACCTTCACTTTCGAGGAATTATGCTGCTGCACCCCTACGTCTTTTTGTTTGGCAACACTCCCCAGGGCCCTACCATTAAGTGTATAAGTCCCGCCCTGGTTTGTCTTACCAAAATACAATGCCTCACATTTATCTAAATTAAACTCCATCTGCCAGTCCTTGGCCCATTGGCCCATCAGATCAATTTCTTGTTGTACTCTGAGATAATCTTCTTCCCTGTCTACTGCACCACCTATTTTGGTGTCATCTGCAAATTTACTAACCATACCTCCTCTCTTCACATCTAAACCATTTATATAAATGACGAAAAGGAGTGGACCCAGCACCGATCCTTGTGGCATACAATTGGTCACAGGCCTCCAATCTGAAAAGCAGGCCTCCACCACCCCCCTCTGTCTCATACCTTCAAGCCAATTTTGTATCCAATTGGCTAGCTCCCGCTGGATCCCATGTGATTTAACCTTACTAACCACTCTACCATGTAGAACCTTGTCATATGCTTTGCTGAAATCCATATAAACAACATCTGCTGCTGTGCCTTCATCAATCTTGTTGTCACTTCTTAAATAATGGCAGCACATCAGCCAATCTCCAGTCCTCTGGCACATCACCCGTAGCTATCAATGATGCAAATATTTCAGCAAGGAGCCCAGCAATTTCTTCCCTAGCTTCCCACCAAGTTCTGGGAAACACCTGATCAGGTCCCAGAGATTTATCTACTTTGTTGCATTTTAAGACCTCTAGCACCCCCTCTTCTGTAAAATTAACACTTTTCAAGACATCACTTTGTATTTCCCCAAGTTCCCCATCTTCCATGTCCTTCTCCACAATAATTACCGACGTGAAATATTTGTTTAGTATCTCATCCATCTCCTCTGGTTTCACAGATAGACGGCCACATTGATCTTTAAGGGACCCTATTCTTTTCCTGGTTACTCTTTTGCCCTTAGTATACTTCTAAAATCTCTTTGGATTCTCCTTAACTCTATTTACCAAAGCTATCTCATGTCCCCTTTTTGCCCTCCTGATTTCCCTCTTAAGTGTACTCCTACTGCCCTCTAGGGATTCCTTTGATTCCAGCTGTCTATACCTGACATATGACTTCCTTCGTATTCTTGATTGAGCCTCAATTTCTCGTCATCCAGCATTCCCAATACCTACCAGCCTTGACCTTCTCACTAACAGGAAAAACTGTCTCTGAACTCTCGTTATCTCATTGTTAAAGGCCTCCCACTTCCCAACTGTCCCGTCACCTGCGAATAGCCTCCCCCATTCAACTTTTGAAAGTCCCAGTCTAATACCATCAAAATTGGCCTTATTCCCATTTAGAACTTCAACTTTTTGATCAGTTCTATACTTTTCCATAGCTATTTTAAAACTGATGGAATTATGATCACTTGCCCTAAAGTGTTCCCTGCTGATACCTTAGTCACTTGCCCTGCCTCCTTCATGTTGCGCAGTCTTACGCTGAGTGAGTGCTGAATGTATGTCTCCTTTAACTCACCCTCCGGTCAATTCAACATCGAAAATTTTTTCAAAAGCTGTACACCAGTCTTCAAATTTGAATTCAGTGATGTTTCTAAGGGCCGTTATCCCAAGGGAAAAATGAGGATTGAAGCTTCAGCAAATGCATGAATTAAAGAGAAATGAACAAATAGGATTTCAAAGAACTCCATAAGAGAAGATGGCACCTTTCAGACTCAAAGGAAACAGCAGTGCTTGCTTTTATATTCTGCCTTTAATATGGTCAGCTTTGCAAAGCATTTTACAGCAGAGAATTGAATTCTGAGCAACAGCGAAAGTTGGAGACAATGGAAATCACAGTTGAAGAAATAGGTTTTTGGGATGTTTTTAAAGAAGGACCAAAATTTATCACAGCTGAATGTGTGTAGAGAGAGAGAAGTTCAAAAAATTCTTCTGCAACCAATGATAGGATGGAAATATAGGAACAAAACAAAGAACTGCAGATGCTGAAGATCTGAAACACAAACAGGAATTGCTGAAGAAACTCAGCAGGTCTGGCAACATCTCTGAAGAAAAAACAGTTAACGTTTCTAATCCAGTGACTCTTCTTCAGATTTCAAGGACTGAAGGATGTAGGCTCGAATTTAAGCTTGAAGTACTTGCAGGGTTTGAATGAGGCAAGCCTGTGGTATTTGTAAGTGAGAACGAAAATTTCCCATACAAATCGAATGTACCCTTTTCTTTTCACCCTTAGGGAATCGTAGTGGATGTCCCATTTGCTTCCTTCTTCCTCAGTCAGGTGCTTGGACATCATCATAGTGCTTTGTACAGCTCAATCGATGAACTTCCATCCCTGGATTCAGAGTTCTACAAAAACCTCACCTCCATAAAGGTAATTGTGGGAACTTATATTTGTGGAAGGAACACTGTTTTACTTTGACATTGTACCACAAAAGACAGAGAAATTAATTGTAATTTAAATTTGCCTCCTATCTGCATGTTATCCTGCATAAATGCTGCTGATAGTCTACAGTGACTCACAGATGTCCAATTTTGAGTTCCTTTTGAGTAAACTAAACTTACGAGTTTGGCATAACTACAGCATTATTATAGAATTACAGTATATGCCTTGCAAGCCAGCCAATGCATTTTCTATGGCAGTGAGGAAGCATACACATTCCTCTGTACTGAGAGAGCTCTGTAATGGAATCAACTGCTTAATGTACTGTTTCATGCCTTTTGTTTTCTGTATCCTCCACATCATCTTTATTTTTATCTTTTGTTTCATTTTATAAGCTTTCATGTTTTCTTTCACTATTTCCCCACATCTTTCTCAATTATATAGTTTTAAAGCATGATGCATAATCTTTATTCAAACAATGGAGATGTTTTGCTATATTAAAGGCATATAAATGCAAATATTAATTAAAGCATTACCAATCAACCATTCTTATTGTGCAGTTTTAAATGTATCATAAGCAATCTTATTTACAAATCCTAGTTGTCCAGCTAACTTTAACTGTATAGGTTTTTGCATCTAAATTAGAAGTTAATGAAAATATGTTCCAAATGAACTATTTGAAATCTCATGACAGGAAATAAGAAAATTTGTCTTTGCCTGAGATATTTGAATTCACCCATTGTGAACACTCATGGGTAGTGTTCGGCTACACAATAATCAAGTACGTGTTGCACATGGGACAAATAGACTGTGTACAAACAGCAATCCTTTTAAGGCAAATGCATACACAACAATCTCAAAGGGACTATGCAGAGCAACAAATGAATCACACACAGTGAAGAAAAATTGGAGGGAATATCGCTGATCACTGTCCTTAAAGTCACCTATCAGGATGCTGTTAGCATGATGTGAAAATCATGTCTTTTTAAAAAAAAAGTTAACCATGAACTTGTATTTGTTGCAAGTTATTCCAAAGAGCAGTTTGGTGTAAAACCTGACCTCAGAGTTAAGATAAAGGCAAAAGAAGAAACTAAGATAAATTTTTACCGATCCTTGCCAGAAATTTTAGGCTTTGCAGCTTTATAATGTGAAATTACTAAAATGAATTTGGAGGGATTACATTGTGATTGTTCAGCTATTTGACATTTGCTGGTGCCAGTTTCTCTTCAGTAACTCAGTGCAGAATCATTACCTTGTATGAACTTTGACCATGAGTATTAGCATGAATTTTAGTCTCATCACACAACCTGATTCTAACTTGAGTGTGCATATTTTAGGTGGGGCTACCGATGAGTGAAAATTCAGGCTAATTTTGGTTTCTCCCTCCCAGCATAGTGGTACTGATATTAATTGTAGAATGTTGTAGATAATCCTGGCTGAGATCAGAGAATTCAGCACAGCTGCCAAAATCAAACTTGGGACTTTGCTACTTTGTGCATCATAGTTCAGTGAACACATTTAGTGAGCAGTTAGTGCTACCAACTGAATTCTTGAGTGTTTTATTGCTCATTCTACATTCCAACATTGATCTGCTGCCATCTTGAACCACTGCAGCCAGAACACTGTGGGTCTCCCTAAGCACATGGACTGCAGCGGTTCAAGAAGGCAGCTCACCACCACCTTCTCAAAGGCAACTAGGGATGGACAGTAAATGCTGGCGAGACACATACCAGGATTGAATTTTTAAAAATTCTTTGGCAACTATTATTTTCAATATAATTTACTGCCAATCTTCATAGACGAGCTGATGCTGGAGTCTAAATTGTTCTACTTGTTTTATATTCAAGAACTCAGATAAAGGGTGAAGATTCATAGTGCAGGACTCCATCAAGGTTGAAAAGAATGAGATAATTAAAATAAGTTGCACAGATTAGTGGACACCAAGCTTGAGTTTTAAAAACCTGTATATCCTGGGAATAAAGGAAGAAAAATGTAATTGGTTGCATATGTTTGAAGAATCTGGGATGGAACGAGTTAGTGGGGGAAGAGTGAGTGGATTTCATTCAGTGAGGATGTACGATGGAGAAAGTTATTGCACATGTTTTTATGCATCTTGAGATCAGAAGAGACTTGAGAGGAACACCGTCTGTTAAAGTAGTGATTATATTTGTATTTGTGTTTGCAGCGATATGATGGAGACATTGGTGACCTTGGTTTGACATTATCCTACGATGAGGATGTTATGGGTCAGGTAATGCTGTCGCAGTTCACAGATAAGTAATAAGTAAAAAATCCAGGGTTTGTACCTGGGCTATAAATTATCAGTGGTATGTGGATCTGCTGTAGGACCAATGGGGTCCTTTCTTAAGAACCAGATCTTCGTGCAATCAACAGCATGCATGGATTTTGGTATCTGTTCTATGATCTGGAGCAAAAGAAAATGTTTAAATCAGAATCAGCATAAAATCTATGAACAGTTCAACCTTTTGGTTTATTATTGCTTAGTAACTTTCTACCTTTCCTGATTCCGACGGTAAAACTGTTAGGTTGGAAATGTAAATCGATTTCTCATTCATCTTGACTCTTCACTAGTTCATTTATTAATGAGTCTTGGCTATTTTGTTGTAGCCCTCAGAATTAGTGCATCTGTGACGGATGAATACCTGGTGAACACGTAAACCCAGAACTTATTGGGTTTACTGTCCAGTCAATGTCAGGATACCTGATTCCTGATTACAATTAATGGCCTCTCTGCCTTTGGATTGGTAAAAGAGTAAGATTAGATGAAGTACTTGCTCCTAATCACTGCTCAGCGACAGTGCTTTGAGAATGCACATATAACGTGGGTGAAGTACTGCAAGGCTTTAGGGCATCTGTGGAAATATTGGCCAGCAACACTCAGCAAATTCAGGAGATTGTTTACTCAGCTTTATTATTGCTGTACAGCTCGGTTAAATTCTGACTTTGCATTGGAATCAGTTTGGTTTTCTTTTTGATTCAACAGCTTGTTTGCCATGAGTTGGTGCCTGGTGGAAAGACTATTGGAGTCACCAACGAAAATAAGTACGTACATCTTTGGCCAAATGCAATTTGGAGTGCATTTCTTCAGGAGCAGTGTGTTGTTAACCCTGTTTCACATTTGAAAATCTATCTTCCATTTTCAAATATAGTTTCTCCTGATGGAAGATGGGATGAGTGGGGGTAGAATATACATGAGAATTCTTTGAATGATTATAATTTGGCTCTGGGTATAACAGTTCAATAGGCTTTATGTCCTTTCCTTGTTCCAGACATTTTTGGAAGTTAACTTAGTTTTGGAAGGTGAGGAGCTGCATTTTTGGACCTGTGTTCTATATGGCAGGGCAGTCTGTTTTCATATCTGTAACGTACTGACAATCCTCCTGCATCATCAGCTGACTAAGCAGTATGTGTGCACAACTAGTCTTTTCTACTGTGTCCAATTCAGGTTAATTACAGCACTTTGAAGCTGTGGGAAATTCATGGCTTGCTTTCCAGATGATTATATCATTTTAGCAGTCATCAGGATCAAATTGGGATATACGTGTTCTTGGTTATAATTCGTCTTATGCAAAAATCTATTCTTTTTAATCATAGATGAGAGCTGATACAATTTGACACTTGGAACAGTCAAAGAGGGCTCTGTACTGCATTTTCTTAAAAATTCTAATATGCAGCAGAGCATCTGTATCATTAAACCCAAGGTATCAACTTGCCTTTGTCTTGTTGCTGACTGCCTTGCTATGCATTGTCAAAATTTTCCAAATTATTCCAGATTTCCAGTAATTGCAGTTTCACTGGTTGCTGTTGCAGCCATACCACCATGCCATTTTGTGCTAACACAGCAGTTCAATTCTTCTGCTTTTCCATTTTTAAGTGTTTGCAGTATCAAAATGCATGTTTTTGGAAGGTTGGGCAGGTTGTTTAGCCCTTTTCAAGTATTAAAGTTTTTGTCATTTACCAACAGAATCAGTTACATCCACCTCATGGCTCATTTCCGAATGCACACTCAGATCAAGGATCAGACAATTGCTTTCATCCGAGGATTCCGGTCCATCATTAACCCTGAATGGCTCCGTATGTTCGCAACTCCTGAGGTGCAACGTTTAATTGCTGGAGACAATGCAGAGATCGACCTGGAGGATCTCAAGTAAGACACATTTTAATAAATTGCAGAAAATTTGTTTTGCTTTTATAATAAAGGGGAGCGTGCTGCTTATTTGCTCACCATTTTTCTTTGTGAAGCCCTTTGTACCTGTAGAAGGAACACATGCATTCTTAGAAAAATTCACTGTCCTGAATTATTGTGGGAAGTGTCACTGGAGACCCAATAGTTTAATATCATGTAATTTTGTGAATAAATGAATTGTGATTTATTTGAGGATTATTTGTGGTCCATGTGTAGTGATTGCCGTTCTTCCCTGTACAGGAAGCATACTGTGTATTATGGTGGTTTCCATGGCAGTCACCGTGTGATTACATGGCTCTGGGATATCTTGGCTCATGACTTCACAGCAGAAGAACGAGCCATGTTTCTTAAGGTTGGTGGATCTCTGGCAGTTAACATTAGCATTTTTAAAAATACTTTCCTGAATCTCTCTTCACCTTCCTCTCCTGATCTCTGTCCTATTTTTCTTTATTTAGACCAGTTTATTCTACAAGATCTCTTGTTCTTGAATAAGGGCTGATATTCTGGGAGTGAAATTTGGCTACAATTGATATGATCATTGTCTAGGTTCGGTATATCAGTGTTCTAATTAGACTGATATCCTGGGCAAGGACCTGAATTTGGTTCTGTCCTGTCAAGGGCATAGACAGGAGATTCTGTGGCAGTTAGCGTAAATTTAGGATGGTTTGTTGCTTTCTTGGTGCTAGGATTAAGGACGTCTCTAAACATTTCAAGCATATTGTTACAGGTGAGATTGAGAAACCAGAAATTATTGTACACATTGGTTAGAATGACATTTTTAGAGAAAATATTAAAGCAATACAGAGTGAATTTAAGAGGTTAGGGAGAAGGTTAAAAAATAGAACCTTGAATGTAGTAATTTCTGATTTACTCCCAACATCAAACTCAAATGAGAGAAGAAACAAAAGGTTAAAGGAGATAAACCAATGGCTAAAGAGCTGGGGTATTGTTCAGGAATTCAGGTTTTTGGACAATTGGAATGACTTTTGGGATAGAAAAGACCTGTTCAAAAAGGATAGGCCTAACCTAAACTGGGAAGGGACCAATATCTTAGCAGGGAGATTTGCTGATTCCATTAAGGGAGACTTTATACTGATAAAGAGGGGAAGTGGAGGAATTCTAAGTAGCTGTGTAAACAGAAGGATTGATGGGCAAGGTTCTGAATGTGAGGAGAGCATGTCAATTAGAAAAGAAAGACAAGAGAGAGTCAGACTATGTAGTAATTCTGAAGAATTGCATTTATTTCTGTGCAAAGGATCTTACAGGTAAGGCTAATGAACTCAGGGCATGTTTACGAACATGGGATTGGAACATCATAGCTATTACAGAAACTTAGCTGAGAGATGGACAAGACTGGCAGCTCAATTTTCTGGGTTTTAGGTGCTATGGGAAGGACAGAAAAGGAGGCAAGAAAGGAGGGGATGTGGTGTTTTTGATAAAGGAATACATTACTGCTGTAGAGAAGATATTTCAGAAAAATCATCCAGTGAAAGTATATGGGTAGAAATTACAAATAAGAATGGAAAGATCACTGATGGGATTGTACTATAGGCCCCCCAATAGTAAGAGGGAAATTGAGAAGCAAATATGTAGGGAGATCTCCGATATATGTAAACATCATAAGGTAGTAATAATGGGGAATTTTAATTTTCCAAACATTGACTGGGGCTACCATAGGGTTAAAGGTTTGGATGGTGAACAGTTTGTCAAATGTGTTCAAGAAAATTTTCTTTATCAATACGTGGATGCTCCTACTATTTCAGGGCAATAAGGTAGGGCAGGTGACTTAAGTAAAAGTGGGGGGACACTTCGGGTCCAGCAATCACAATTCTGTTAGTTTCAAAATGGTTTTGGAAAACGATAAGCCTTCCATAAAAGTTTCAAGTTTTCAATTGGAGTAAGGCGAATTTTAATGGTACGAGACAAGAACTTTCAAAAGTTGATTGGAGTAGACTGTTCGCAGGTAAAAGGACGTCTGACAAGTGGGAGGTGTTCAAAAATGTGATGACAGGAGTTCAGAGGCATTATGAGTGAAGGGTAAGGCTGGTAAGATTAAAGAACAATGGATGAATAAAGGTATTGAGTTTCTAGTCAAGAACAAAAGAGAATCTTATTTTAGATATAGACAACTTGGTTCAATTGAATGTCTTAATCAATATAAAGAGTGTAGGGGCATTCTAAAGAGGGAAATCAGGAAGGCAAAGAGGGGATATGAGATAGCATTAGCAGATACGTTTAAGAATAATGCAAACAGATTCTACAAATACATTAAAAACGAGAAGGTAGGGCCTCTTAAAGATCAAGGAGGTCATCTTTGTGTTGAACCCCAGGAGATGGAAGAGATACTAAATGAATACTTTGCGTCAGTTTTTCCTATGGAGAAAGAAATGGAGTCTAGAGAATGCAGTGAAATAAACTTTGATGCTTTAAACACCATTTGCATTACAGAAGAGGAAGTTCGGGAAGTCTTAGAGAATATAAAGGTGGATAAATCTCCGGTACCTGATCTAACGTATCCCAGAACAATGTGGGAAGTAAGGGAGGAAAAATATTTGCATCATCTGTAACTACAGGTGAAGTGCCTGATGACTGGAGGGTGTCTAATGCTGTACCTTTGTTTAAGAAAGGCTGTTAGGAGAAACAGGGGAACTATAAACCCGTGAGTCTGACTTCGGTTGTGGGTAACTTGTTGAAGGTGATTATAAAAGATAGGATTTCTGGACATTTAGAGAGGCAAAAATTGATTAGGGATAGTCAGCATGGTTTTGTGTGAGTAAAATAGTGTCTCATAAACTTGAGATTTTTGAGGAAGTTACCAAAAAGATTGATGATTGCAGAGTAGTAGACATTGTTTATTTGGATTTCAGTAAAGTCTTTGACAAGGTTCTGCATGGTAGACTAATTAGTAAAGTTACATCACATGGAATTCAGGGTGAGCTTGCCTACTGGATACATAATTGGCTGTACAGCAGGAGACAGAGTAATGGTGGAGAGTTGCTTTTCAAACTGGAGGCCTGTGACCAGCGGTGTTCCACAGGGATTGGTTCTGGGTTCTCTTTTGTTTGTCATTTATATAAATGATTTGGATGAGAATATAAAAGACATGGTTAGTAAGTTTGCAGATGACACCAAAATTGGTGAGGAAGGTTTTCTAAAATTACAAAGGGATCTTGATCAAATGGGTCAATAGGCTGAAAAATGGCAGATGGAGTTCAGTTTGGATAAGTGAGAGCTATTGTATTTTGGTACAACAAACAAAGGTAGGGGTTATACACTTAATGATAGGGCCTACGGTAGTGTTGTAGAACAGAGGGACCTAGGGGTGCAGGTCATAATTCTTTGAAGTTTGCGTGACATATAGACAGAGTGGTTAAAAATGTGTTTGGCACACTTGCCTTCATTGCTCAGTCCTTTGAGTATAGGAGGTGGGAAGTCATGTTGAGGTTGTACAGGACACTGGTGAGGCCTCTTCTGGAAAACCGTGTCCAGTTCTGGTCACCCAGTTATAGGAAGGATATTATCAAGCTGAAGAGGGTTCAGAAGAAATTTACCAGGCTGTTGCCAGCTATGGAAGGTTTGAGTTATAAAGATAGGCTGGGAATTTTTTCACTGGAGTGTAGGAGGTTGAGAGGCGACCTGATAGAAGCTTATAAAATAATGAGGGGTATAGACAGAGTTAATGGTAGTTGTCTTTTCCCTAGGATGGGGAATTTCAAGACTAGAGGTACATACTTTTAAGGTGAGAGGAGAGATTTAAAAACGACACAAGGCAAATTTTATACTCGGAGGGTGGTTCAGTTGTGGAATGAACTTCCTGAAGTACAATTACATTGTTTAAAAGACATTTGGGCAAGTATATGAATAGGAAAAGTTTGGAAGGATACAGGTCAGGAGCAGGCAGGTGGGACAATGGGATTATGTTCGGCATGGACTGGTTGGACCAAAGGGTCTGTTTCTGTGCTGTATGACTCTATAAACACCAACAAAAATATCTTCATATAAAGCTTTTAAACCCCATGATAGCCAGGTTCTGTGCAAGTGTTGTATCTCACAGGATCCTGTGAAGGCTGTCACTTCCTTTCCATGAGCTTGAATCTACACTTGTCTTGAACAGGATTGCTATTCTATAAAGGGAACTTACTGTAGTAATGAAAAAAAAACTCATCATTATTACAATTTTGCAAGTGAAAGGCTCCAATCTAACTTTCAGATATAACCATATTTGAGCACAAGAAATAATAACCTGCTGGCCAGACAGGCTGCTGTCCTGTGCACTGGCAAGCGTACTTCTTTATTTCCACTCACTCAGTACATGTACAACTGACTGTATCTTAGCACAATTTAGAGGTGATGGTCTTGATTTTAATCTGTATTGAAGATGGCCCAATTCTAAATGCACCAGTCTCCACACTCTTTCTCCCTCCAGCTCTTCATTGAAGGAACAGATCCATAACAGAATAATGGTTGGAAAAATAGAGGTTGAACCCTTTGCCAATGTCTTAGTGACTGGGGAGTTTCCAAGGACTGCCATGGCTGCAGCTTGGAATTTATCTTTCCTTTAGGTAAAGCTGCAGTACTAACACAGGCTTTATTTCTTCTTAACTCCCTCATTCCAGTTTGTCACAAGCTGCTCTCGGCCACCACTTCTAGGTTTTGCTTACTTGAAGCCTCCCTTCTCCAT